AAATAAAATTCAAGAAAATCTTAGCTTCTTTCAGGTTATAAATAAGCAAGAATTAAATTATATTCTTGCCAAATTTCGCACATTAACTACGTCATAATTATTTAATAATATTAGTTAATTGTATACAACTCATCCAAAGGACAGTGTTGTCACTGAATATACAAAATTGAGAAATAAAAAAGCCTTTCAACGTGAGTGTCAACTCAACAAATCAAATAACTTTTAAATAAAGGAAATTGAGTTTGTTCATAAACATACTACGTTTTTTAAGTAATTTTTTTAAATTATAAGTTTTAACTTATATACCTTTTATAAGATTTTTTTAATAAATCTCAATTATACCTTTAGCTATAATAATACATAGCAATAATTTAAAAGAAAAAATATAGAGATAAAATTCAGAAAATCGATAAAAACACATTTTTATATTTTATAAAAGTTTACTGTCAAATTAATACCAACAATCTGCAACACAGGAAGAATTATAAAACGAAATAAACTTACGTATCCGTACTATATACCCTATTAGAACCCTGCCAGTTATTCGGAAAACATTGCAGATATCAAATTTTAAATGCATTTCAACATTAAATCCAAAAACCCTATATATTACTAAAACTTAAATATTACTCATACATAAACTTGCCTTTGTGTCATTCACAAACTAAATTCAGCAAACCAGGAAGAATTACAAGATCCACCAGACATCTAACTTCCAACCTCCCACCTCCACAATATGCACTTGGCGGGTGATGTTTGCACAATAAACGCTAAATAAACTGACAAGACATTCTGTCTCGTCTCACATGTAAATGTCAAACTTCTATGAATGTTTCCGGTTGTAAACCTGTGAAAGATCGCTTTCCGTGACTGAATGCACAATTACTTTACTCCAACCATTACCCGGCCTAAATAAACCTCAAGTTGACAGCTTTGGTAATGGCTGGCTTGTTAAGTTAGTATATCGGGTTTGTGTAGGTAATTAGTGTAGTATGAAATATAACTCCTTCTGTGAGCTTTGAGTTATATGGGCGAAAGTTTTTTTCCCGTACTTTATATTCTTAAAAACGTCTGTTATTTAATTCGTGCCGAATGGACGATTCCAGTTATATGTTATATATGTAAATATTTAGTATAATAATAATTTGAAAAGCTTTGCTGTTTTAACATTGGCCAATGCGTATTTTGTTAGGATGGACATGATATAAAGCTTTAAAATAATAAGTTTACATACGGCTATGATTTTATTAGACTCTCATTTAATAGCTTTTATATTAGTGGCGAATTTAATATTTAAATAAACTGGAGGTGGTCCACTGGTCGAAAACTCATTCAAAAATATGTAATGTACAGACTTCTCTAATTTCACCCCACACTGTAAATAGAACATGTGATTGGAATTTCTTATTTTTTTAGATTTTCTGTTTGTGTTCCGTTGTTATTTTGTCACCAGCATTGCAACCCATAAGGCCCATATATATTTTTTTATTTTAAATTCATTTTTATGCTTTGTTTAGCATATTTTAATTAATAAAGGGATTGTGTACATCTACAGGAAATATCTTTATAACAGTATGAGTAGATTTTCCCTGCGATGCACACGAACTGAGAAAAAATGTTTTCATAGAAACACGCTTGCCTATTAATATATAGATAACATACACTGTCTAGCCATGAGCTAGAATACATCAAATACTTAGGTTTCTAAAATCCTAAATAAATCGTAGTATTTTATTAGCCTAAATAATTAGTCCTGTCTCAATAAATTGAAATAATTATACACATACTTTAAATGATGGTGGAATAATTGTACTTTAAACTGCATTTAGCTATGCTGGAGCTGATAATAATATTTTATGCTCAATGTGTCAACATGTTAAATGTGTTAAATGTTAAATGTGTCACCATATCTTAGTTTTGTACTCGTGTTAACCAAAACTTTCTTTCTTAGCTAATAAGCTTTGTTTCAATGTATCATAACTAGGTGTCTCCAATCTTAAAGACAAGGCTGTGAAAAGTATTTACTAAACTAAGGTAACCTTGTAGCTAAAAGCGTGAAAGTAATAGTGCATGCGTGACATTATTTGGACGAATATCAAAGTGTACCTTGCTCGAATAATTCTAGTTAATAAGATGAATCTAGTCTTTTACATCCTGCTGGTGAAACAACAATCCATCATTTAAAGGGAAGTAAAACAGTACCTATTGGCCCTTATGAAAAACTGACAAGGGTATATAAATAACTGATAATCAGCCAAATTATGACACCAAAAGTCTCACCTTTAAAGAGTTGTACCGAGACCCGAATTCTTTAATAGCCTTATAAGGAGACTGTTTACAGCAACACCGTGCTCCCAACGGAAAATCTTACATAAAGCCTAACACCTATTGTGGGACAAATCATTGGTCTAGCCTCAAGTCAAACAATAAACTTGTTAATGCTATTAAAACTCAATATAAACATGACTTCCCTACAATTGAACAGTTTTACGATTTTGTGCAGAATGCTTGTGTAAAACACGTCAGAAAACCACTTGTGGTTAAGTACTCCCGATGCAATATAATTACTTAGATTGACGCAGTACTCTTCTTCACGCGTATGTTTTTTACATCTCTACAACTTAGCTATAATCAGTTCTTAGTAATTTGGAAAAACATAAATGGTGTGACAAATTATTTAAACTCAAGTTGATACAAGCAACTCCCGTAGATGGTTGATGAGATTTAGTCGTCACCGCCTAAACTACGGGGAAGACAACAATCACAAATCACGACACACACAGTTACCCTCTGCAGTTTCGTCACATAGCCAGGGATCACCCAAATGAGGTAACTTATGGCGAAAGGTCAATAGTTACAGAGAAAGGGCCTGATCATCATGACAATGCCGCGCTACCGCTACTCTGCCACCTCTTTGCGAACAGAACGTGTTGCCCAATGCTGGATACATCGAGCGATATAGTGCCCGGAAGAAGGAGAACAACTGGTTTATAGGGAAAAGATCAGTAATAGTCCATTGGCTTTATGTTGAATTAAATATCTCTTGTATTAGTTTTTGCCCTAAAATGTAAATTAGCTTATAATGAAAAATCCCAGTTATCCTTACATTTTTAGCATTAGAAGTTGAGAGAGATTCTTTATGTAGGAATTCTTTATTCTTTTCATTGAAAAAAAAAAAAAATAGCAATTATGTATTCTGTAGTTAGCTATTTGTATATTCCAATTTTTTTTTCATTTATCATTGAAATTTTAAAAAAAGGTGAAAAATGTGAAATCGCAAATCATAACAACAAAAAAACGGTATTACTTATTTTTTTCGGCTAATGCCGTATTTACCCAGAAAACCAGGTTTGAAACGCCGTAAAAAAATAGCAAAGTGCCAAAAATGGCAGGTTTTGGATAAACCAAATTAAATAGGTCCAACCTAACTCAATCTAACCCAACCTAACCCGACGTAACATGCTTAGGTTAGGTTAGGACATGCTTAGGTTAGCAAAACGCAAACAATGACAGACTTTTGTGTAAACCAAGGTTAGGATAGGTTAAGTTAGGTAAGGTTAGGTTAGGTTAGTATTAAGTTAATGACACAAAAACAATAAGACAAATACATTAAAATAAAAAGTCCAAAAAATATTTTTCAAGTGCCAAAAATTGCCGCTTTATACTGTTTTTCGTGATTTTCAAACTCGATTTTCGTGGTAAAACAGGCGTTTCACCCAAACGTGTCAGAGGAAAAAGTGCTTTAAATAGCATAATTTTGGTAGATAAGGTGTAAAATACAATACAACATATGTTCAGTATAAAAAAAAAACGATTTGCCTTTTTGACACTTTTTGCATCATTACATAAAACAGAAGTAACAGTTTTTCTGTATGAACAAAACTGCACTGTTGCGCGTTTGGCATAATCCTTGGTTACCATACCAAAGAGATCAATACCCTAGAAGGTTTTGGTTACTGAACCCCAGCTTTGTTTGTTCATCTGATTCGGGGAATATAGTCTTGTATGATACAGTATTCAAAAAAAATAAAAACAAACCAAACCGACAATATAGGTCATTTCCAGAAAAAGGTTACAAAAATTCCAACTGTCACACCTTGAGAAAGTTAGTCTTAAACTAAAACCAATAATTTAAATGTTATTTTAATCGAACAGTGTTAATACAAAGCACTTCTCTTATGGCTAATGCAGTGTGTATGTTTAAAATACTCATAAATACCGACGAATTTCATAGGTTTAAGATATCATAAAATTTCAAAGTATGACATTTGATTTTTAATGTTATAATTTTGTTTTCTTCCTTATTTAGTTGGTAACATACACTACTTTTTAAATTCATTATTCAGGAAGTGGTTGACACGAGAGAAAAATAGATGTTTATCGTGAAATATGTTCTTGGACCTTTGAGCTTTTAAATAACGATTCCTGCTGAAGCTGTAAATATGCAGTGGAAATTTGTGAACTATGTACCGATGAGGTTACTAATTAAAAGATTGAAATATAAATGATGATAAATAATAATAAAGAATTGTGTTGGTGAGTTAACATATAAGCTTTACGAAAAAGATCTGTACATCCACTAATAATCTCCTGGGATAAGTTATTCTTTAATTGCAAAGAAATTTACGTTCGTTATGGCCAAATGAACCTAAAACCTAAATAGTGATACATTGAAAGAAATAGTTTACTATAAAATACTCCAAATTCTACGTTTGTTCAGGCCTAGGGTATTATTTTGTAGTTTCTTCTAACACCAAAAGTCACCGTTCTCCAACTAACAGCATAAAATTAACCATACCTTTAATTTCATCCAAGCTAAATGACATCACTTACACCTACGCCTACGCAACCATCCAGTAAATAATGAAATAAAACTTTATCCGGATGATTTCCTCCCGCGTGGTAAGACGCGCCGCGGTGGCATCGTGGTGGTGGGAGTACCTGGTAGGGGGAGCGCCACTCGTCGTATCTAAGGGTATAAATGGTGGACGACCCATGGACCGGCACAGTCAGTGACTTCCATCTAGGACCTACCATCATCATGTACACGGTACGTGCCAGTGGAGGTGTGGAGGAGTGTAGTGTGTGTGGTGACCGTTGACCCAGAGGACTCAAGAACCCCGAGGCTGCGGTTTACGCGGTTCACAGTGTTTTCGGGATTGATTCGAAGTGGTTTACGTCGTATCGCGTTTGGGAAAAAAACTTAACGCGATTCAATACTTTATATATTTGCTCGTCGATCACGTGTTAGGGAGTAAAATGTTTTACTTTACATCGTGCAGCTTTCTGATGTTTACAGTGTTTTCGGGATGCATTCGAAGTAGTTTACTACGTATCACTAAACATGATACAGTTTTGCTTTCATATTTTACACGACGAAGACGTATAAAGCAGTAAGATTGCTAAGGACTATTTATCCAAGGCCCCCGTGCGATTTTCTGAGGGTTAAACTTTGTTTATAGTAGTTAAAGCAATTCAATATGCAATACTCGTGTTGTTATTTTAATCTACTCTTTGAATACACCTGGGAGTAAAATTACGGATCAAATGTACAATGAGGTTTGAAAAACCTTTTCTTAGCTTCAATAGTGTTTACGGAATCGCCTTCATTTTGCTATTTGCGTCGAGTAGTATATGAAACAGATTAATGTTAACGTGCAATTATACGTTGATTGACTTGTTGAACACTTTTTGGCACAATTGTGTAAACTGAGGCTAAACTATTTATTTCCGTTTGTGTGTGTGCCGTTTCATGGCCTTGATATGTTTTTTGTTCTAGGGCACGGTAATAGCTCTAGTTTTCAGGGGGAACTAGAAGTGATGTTATATTGACCAGGTTTTATTTTTATGCCGTTAAGAAGAAATGATTTATCATTCATGTTTAAGATTTATTAAACTGTTTTATATAATTATTTTTAGACAAACCCAATTTATCTTATAAAAAAAATAATACGTTTTAATTTCCATATAATAATTGAATTTTACTATGTTAAGAAGTTAAACCATAAGCGATCAAGGCTTCAGACTGTCATTGCGAAATAAAATAATAAAAAAATCCTTAGAACTATTTTTGAGCAGTCAGGGCTTATTTTATAAGTATATCAGTGGCGCTTTAATATAAAGAATAGGCTAAACTTAGTCGGGTTATTTTTAATTAAATGATTTCTTAATAGCACAGCTTGTAAATGTAGGGTCTACAAAAAAAAAAAAAAAAAAAAAAAAAAAAACTAGCAAAAGCTTATTGAATATAACCATCCAAATTTCAGTCATTATTTTATCAGTTCACAATTATCTAAGATGAGCAAAACGCATGGTAAGGATACACTTTTGGGGATTTTAATACAATATTGTATTTAATAACAAAGCAAAATCTTTCCTAGAACCCCCTCCCCTATATTCAAGCGTTGATATTTTGTGTGTGGATATAATACTCGAAAATTATTCAAATTGTTTATTGTTTGGGTTGCTATAAACCCCTAAATCTCGGTTTTATATAGGCTATACAGATTGTTATCTTTTTCATCAAAAATATGTGTAGGCTATGTTTTATTAGTAAAACAAAATGAAAAGTACCTATAGATGTTTGCATGTGTAGTCCAACTTTGTAAGGTTGTTCTTACAATAGATATAACTTTTCAATGTACAGTCAAATTTCAACAGTTGATATTATACGAAATGGTGTTCCAAACTGGATAAAAATGTATTATACTATCAAGTAGCAGTATTCATAGTATTCACTGGCAAAATTTTACATTTTGGATAAATTGCTATTTTTTTATGAACTGGATAGAAAGGGAGAACGATTGAGTTTTAAGAACCATTTGACTCATTTCGATAAAACTAGCACGATATTGTTTACGCAGTGCTTTGAAGTGGGTCATATTTCTTTGATACTAGGGTTTTACTTGTACAAGACATTGATGATAACGGGGAAAACATTACTGCTTTGGTATTTTAGACATATAATCTTAGCTTCTTTATACAGAGATAAAAACAATACTACTTCTATAAATCGTACTGATTTCTTATTAGTTTGGCGAATCCCTAATAGTATTCATTGATAAGCTAAAAACCCTTTGCCAAATGCTTTAAGCTTAACTTTATGTTTTTGTTTTACTAGAAGACAGGAAAAACAGCTTTACGTGAAATGAGATTGGATTCTTCTTCTGCTTTGCTTAAATTTAGTAAAATCGGAGTTGATTTGTTATGTTCGTGTGAACAAGTATAACTTTGGTTTGGTATTACGGTGTTATTATTAAAACACATACATTTATATAAAACTGTTCCTATACGTCAGATTGGTTTTTGCCTAACATTAAAACGTTTCAACAGTAAAACTCGTTAAATAACCAAATGTGTTTACTACTACTCATTCTCGTGAAAAGTTTTCTTACAAGGACGGTAATATTTCACGAATGTCATCAAAGATAAGCCATCGAACTAGGAAGGGCAACAATATCAGGAACCGAATTTACATATGAACGTGTTATAATATAGTATAATTATAAGCAAGGTAGCCGTGGGCAGGCATGCGTAGTTCGCACGCTTCTTCGGTCGTCCTTGATTCAAACATGCTTCAAGGATGTGAGGAGACACTTGCGTTCAACGACTCGCCACACACACTGTGTTCTTTGATATTTAAGATCCTTATTTAACTAGTTTAAGATTTATTATGTTATTTAACCAAATATTACATACATTTTCCATAAAATAAGTAGAGAAATCAGGTTCTTAACGGCATCTTTGGATCTTGTCTTCAGTGGCTAAACGCAAATGATCTCAATCGTTGTTGTGGTGTTTCCAGACCAACCATTTGACAAATAAAAAGGTTAAACTACCTTTTGTAGCCTTGTTACCTGTTAAATGAACCTATGAGTAAAATTGGACCACAAGGCGACGACAGGTAGTTTTACCTTTGTATTTGCAAAGGATCTGTACAAACAGTCTTTAAGTAACCAGGAAAAAAGTAAACCCTATTATATCGTTATTTAGTTGGAATACATAAATAAGCATCAACAAGAAGAGTCCGTAAATCTACTTTTCTGATGGAAAATATTAGCAATTCTTTTGTATATAACACAAACGTTTAATCGAGTAGCAAGGCGACACGTGTTATCCAAAAAATATTACGAGGCACTAGCCATGTTTGTCTTATACTCTGTATTTTTTAAGCTGTTTTAAAGAAAGGCAATCGATAGCATTTACTAAAATGCAATTTGCATTACGATTATAAAGCCTAAATTCAGTATTGATGGCCTGTGATACCCGATAGTACTAAATTCAGTTAATAAAACCTGTCCATGTGGAACTACTTAAGCAAATTAAGAATTATTCTTAACGTTTCTTGCCATCCTCAAAATATTTCTCACGAGTACTCTTCTATTATTTTTACATGAGCGTAATCTCATTACAAGGCCTATTACAAATACAAAACCTGTAATCTATTAAGGAAAACAGTAGCGGATCTGTAATTCAACCATTAAAGGATGGACTACAATTAGCGTGTCACATCTACCACTAATTGTTTCTAAATTAGGCATTTAACAACTGGTTTGAGGAAACATAACTTTAACTCTGAGTGACGCCTGAATTAATTACAGTCTTCAACCAGCTGTCTCAAAACCTCAGCGGCTCTTGGGGAACGGCGCTGCATTTCATCATTGCCTTAATTGGGCTTGGGTTAAGTGAGAGTACTATACAAGTCTTTAAGGGTTATGAAATTTTTAGTAACTCGTAGTCATCGATGTATTAAATGGTTTTGAATTTGGGACATGATTTTTCTGTTTTAATCAGGTTAACAGATAGCTTGGAGGACCATTTAGTTGATTTATAAAACGTAGTTCATATTTTAACTTCTGTGTACTTTTCAAGTTAATTTAAATTATATTAATTTTAGATTCAGTAATGGAATACTTTAATGTAACTTACTTTTTAACGTGTTTTACTGTGAAATTAAAAATTGCTCTCTAGATAAATCTTTCGAGATGAACATTCGTGGAATTTGTTCATACAGAATATATTAGTGTTTTAGGGAGGAAACTCTTAGGTTTTTTTCTGTTTAATTTAAATTTAATTTTGTTTCTTATCCCTAACAATTTATTTTTTATAACAAATATACTAGTTATACTCGTATTCGTTATGGGACAAACAACAAGAATTAATTTGTATGTTTATTGTTTATCAAGGGTTTTTGTGACCCAATTTTTTTTAAAATTTTTTCTTTTACAAATACATTTTTACTGAAAATTATAATAAATCCACTTTTTTCATTTCATTAAATGTAAGTGCATGGACCCTTGTAGATTTAACGTTCTGAAAGAATTGTTTGTGAGTAATTCACCCTCAAATAATTGTGCCATGTTCTTTTAACATTCCTGCAGTACTATTAATATAAAAGCTTTCAAGTACACCTGCAATTTATACTGTATAAATGAATTATTAAATTCTCCACCAAAGTAAAAACTAAATAAGACAAAAAAGAACATGGTTAAACAAAAAATATTTCCCGATCAATTTTATACTCTACTTAGAGTAGAAACATTGTTGCTTAATTTTCATGACTCTTTTGTTACCAACACTTAATTACAACATGAGTTTAAATACTGAGTCCAAGTCGATTGCGTATTACAAAAAAAACCCCTTTCAATTCCTCTCGTTCAAGTTAGTCCTTTAAATAGTTCATTCTGCTAAGCTGAAGATAGTCAGCAATTAATTTTAGAAATATTTTAGGATATTTTATAACCTATCAGAAAATATTTAATCAAAGCATGTCACGTTCTTGTAACCTATTGTTCACACAACAATAATTGATCCAAAACTACAGGTTGTGATGCACCGCTTAAAAGAAAACACATTGACGTCAACACTTCATATCCACTCACACTCACGGGTATGACGTCACCCGTTGTTTCTTTACACCTAATCGAGGTTGCCCGAAGGTCCAACGACACAATAAACCAAAACATTTCTCTCCTCTTAACACTTTCTCCGCAAGGCCGCCACACAATGCACGCCGTACAATTAACTGTTCGGTTCCCACCGTTACACAACACAGGGATGTGCGGCAAATGTTAACCGTATGCTAATCAATTTGCAACGTGGCTCATTATCGATTATCACATATCGATATATCGATAGTGTAATCGGATATCTCGGTGTTGATAAAAGGTGAGGCAAGTGTATTTCACAAGTCCTCTTCGGCGCAACAGAGGGAAATTTAGTGTCCACGGGGTTATCTAGTAGGTAGAGCCGGGGTTGACCTTTGTGCCCGAATGATAGCTGTGTTTAAATAAGGATGTGACCTTTTTGGGAAATCACTGTATTTGTGTATAAGTCACTAACACAATCAGAAAATGTATTTCTTAGTATTTTTACCGACAACTATCCGTCACCACTGACTATTTGATGGGTAACTGTGATCTTAAAACAGTAGCGTATCGTAAAGGTATAAATCCTTAACAAAACCTTACATATAGATAATTCAAACATTACAATGGAAACCTTTAATTATCACTCAATCATCTCGTTAATTGGTGGCCTTTTGATCACGGGAAAAAGGTGTAAAAAGAAATAGAAAATAGAGGCGGATGAAAATAATTGAAGAACGAAATACCTGTAATTTCAATAAAAACTATTTGTCAATACAAAGCATACAATGTATTCAGGGATTTAAGCTTTTTCGCCCACAAACCTATACATACACCAGCAATAAACCCTTCAAAACAAATATGCATTCCTAAAAAAAAATTTATTTTTCTTACAATCTTTCAGCAATAATGGTCTAACTACATTAAACAGCATTAATAATTCTCGGAATAAATACACTGTGTGTAGAATATCACGAAGAAAAATACTACAAACCACTTTCAGTAAAACACATTGTGCTCGCTCACAAATTACTTTTGTTAACAAAACATTACATGATTTTGCTACAAAACTTAAACACAAAACAAAATCTATTGTAATATCGCATTCCAAAACTGTCCCAGATCATTTACAACTCTTAAACCTTCCAAAATCTTCCGTTGCGTGTCTTCGAGTAATAAAAAAAATATCTCATTATAATTTAAATGGAAACGCTAAACAAGACGGTGGGATCATTGAACTTGGCAGTCAACCGGTTGCGTCACGAGACCGACAGCGGCATTCCTCGAGAAAGTGAAATGGTTCGAACTGGTTGCGAGTCAAGTTCATTGCCGAACCGGTTGCCTTCTTTGCCAAGAAACCGGATCACCGAGTTACGGATTAACGAATCAGACAGACGTGCAGATGATTAAATGCATCACAACCAGTTTGTCATGTTCGATAAGAGTATTTGATTCGAGGTTTGGAATGTGTGTCGTGATCAGTTTGTATTAGTGGGTCATTTGATTTTCATATCACTTCGCATTAATCGTTTAGAGTAATAGAATGACCTTATTATATTTTAATAGCTGCAATACACGTTCTTGTTTGTGTCTTCTTTGGACACACTTTTAACAAAGCGTTATATTTCTACTATTGATTGAATTAAACTACACCCTTATGTTTTCCAATTTTTTCAAAATAGTGGCAATAATAGACATAATTTAATCACTAAACTTTCAGATTTACATATTTTATTATGACCACGCAATTCTATGAATAAAAAAAGACTAATCATTTTATTGCATACGTTCCTCAATTCCTCTTAAAATCACGCTTACTTGTTTAGGAACAGCATAATTTGTAACGTAATTAAATAATTTAACAAGCAATCCTTATTTTCCAAATGTATTTTACTAATGTGACTAGATTTCAAAGACCTGCCTTGACATACTGAATGTTTCTAGATATTCAGGGACTCCAGTTCAATCGTATTGTACCAAATATTTCTCACAGCAACTAGAACACCATAAACAATAGTGCTAACAAGCTACCCCAACGGCAATACTGCCAACACAATGAATAATTAAATAATTACACTAACGTTTGCGCAAACCTCAAGCTTTCAACATGAACTTGGGAAATAGGGTTGTAATGGTAAGGTTGTGGGAAAGCACGCATTGGAATAAACACGCACTCACGCACACGCAGACAAGCACACACAGACAAGCAAGGAGTTTACATTTCTCTAAGTAAGGATAATAACAAGACAAGACAATAGTTAAGTTAAGTGTTAATAGCTGGATAACTTTATGGCTACAAGTTGCATTCCTGAACAATAATGTTTCACTGTCAATTAACGTTTATCCTCTCCCTCTACCGTTTATCATGATGAATTATTAATTTTCTTTGTTTTTACATTGACGATTGTGGTGTAGCGACAGCTATATATTGTGTTGTGTCTTCCTTCGTTTATCTGTGTGGAAAACTCAATAAGTTTAAACTACACACTTGCTTACATGTTAAAACCTTAACCACAGAACTCACCAGCTGAGATAAGCATCATTACACGTCCACCCACCCAAAAACTTTCTACGCCATACATTAAAGGCTACATGGAGACTATCAGTTGCGCAACATGTAGCTTTGTAGCACACACAGACATCAAACAATGATTCGTTATCCAGGAGTTATCGCTTTGCCTTTCTATGGCTACTAGATATAGCTTGACTTTGCGTAGCTGACATCGTTTATTGAAAATATCCTTTCCATGATTATAGGGACATACAAGTCCTTACGTTTCCTTATACAGTGTTTGTCATTTGGCATAGGAAAGTTGGGTTTACAATTGTAGGGATGAATTATGAGTGTATCAGAATTTATCTAATATTTCAAATTATTGAATTTTTAAATTTGTGCTTAACGTGTTATGTTTTATAACAGCTAACATATTAAAACTTTATACTTATGTGGATCAGCATAGTTCAAAACCGTAAAAACAAAAACAGATTAAGCTAAGCATGTTGTTGATATGAATCAATCAAATGGGAACAACGTACTTGAAACTCTTGATCAATTGATCTACAACCAAACAAAAGCATGTCAGAAGAAGCTAAAACATAGTATTTTGATATATGATTTTTACAATTATACAAATTTATTTTATAGACACGTAGAGCATTATCTAAAGGTTAACTTGACATTTTTCAGAATCCGGCTCTCTGAAATGTTATTGGTGTGATCAAAGATCAAACTTGACACCCTGACACCTAATTTTAAGACGACACTCACCCAAAAGTAACTTCTAACATTTGTATTTTTTACCTCACAAGTATAACTATTGATCAAAATACCTGAGTAAATATAACTCTTAAATATATTAAGAGTTATATTTAATAGTATATATAATTTAATAGTATATTTAACTATTAAACATATTATATCTCTTATAACTTAAATATAATTCACTACAGGATAGCATAACTTTCAATTCAAATTAATGTTTCCTGAATGTGTAAAGTTTCGACACAAACATTAACAAACTTTACGATAAATAAACTCCACAATTTTCGATTATGCCATCATACCCAATCCTAGCAATCACCTGCAAGCCAATTATTATAAAACATCCCAACTTACCTCTTCATCTGAGCATATTTGGAATTCCAAAATGCAAATGTCAAACGTTTATCCTTCGTTACAAAAATACCCATCCCACAACTCCTTGCAGTTAACATTCTTTCTGCCTACACGGTTATGCAATAACTATTATTAGTTTATGTTTTCCAGCGTTGCGTCAAAAGGAGAATATGTTTCTTATTTGGCTCATCATAGGTTGCGCCACCAGTGACATAATAGACATTGACATTTGCAAGTGTGTCATTATCCGAGAGTTTGTGTAAAGTTCGTTGTCGATTGTAATATTTATTTAAAAACCTGTTGTGGTTGGATTTCCACGTCTAAATTAACTACACGAAGTAACTGACTGACACAGACGGTGGCTATTTTTAAATCCATGCACTTAGTGTGGTGTTAAAAAATTATTGAGTTACGATAACAAATCATGCAATGTTTTATTTTATTTTAGTTCTGCAACCGTAGAAAATGTAAATACTTAACCAATTTAGTTAGAAATATTAAAATTTAAACTGAACTCTTGGTGTCTTATGATGCTTTCTGGGAAGACGTCACTAACGTCCATAAAGATTTTCGTCATGAACCACGTCATCATTTGCATATTTCTGCCTGACTTTTCACTTACACCGATATTATGAAGAAGTTTTAAATATAGTTTTACTCTGTGCCATTTAAATTGTCAATTATTTATGCATATTTTTTAAAGTGCATTAAGTTTTCCGATGTTTTTATTTGTAACTTTATGTTGCAGATCGTCGCTCTCTGTGCCGTCCTAGGGATGAGCTTTGCCGCACCCCAGCAACCTCAGACCTCACCCATCCCCATCCTCAAGTCGGAGCAAGAGGGACCCAACCCAGACGGTTCTTACAGATGGGCGTAAGTAGCATAGTCGTCCAGTCATTAGTGTAGTTCCCGGGTAGTTTAATATCACACTTAATATCAGTGGTATATCTATAAAACTTGGTAGAGTCTTTATTTTAATTTTCAACAACAATATTGCATGAGATCATTGTAGATCTTCCAAAGGCTTCGGCTTCTAAAAATGTCAAAATTGCACTTCTTGGTATTTGGTGGCTCATTTTGAAATTCAAAATCAATAAATTACAAAAAAGTGAACTTTAAATGCGAAAAATATGGACATTTGTAAAATAATTTTCTAAATGTTATCATTTGAAACATCAATCAATTGTTGAGCCTGATGACTTGGTGGAATCTACATACTTTTAAGTAGTACTTAGTGTATTTAAAAGTCACCCTTGGAAATTTTCTTCCTAGTATTACATCCAGTTTTAGATGAGTGACTTATCGAGTCATTAATATGGTTAAGTAAGACGTAATGTATTTGAATTCAATGTAGGCATTTTAAAGGAAATGTGTCTAATTTACCACTAGGGTTAGTAAGTTAGTACGTAAAAAGGGAACGGCCAAATGATACCCAGCAATCCTCAAACACAGCAATTCTTAGCACATGTATATGGTGTGGTGAGAACACACCATATAAACACCTCTCTACACGCAACAAAAGGCAATTCTCACTAACAAAGTCTGAGTCATGGATTGAACGTAACTACTTCTTAACACTCCATGGTATCTTACATTAACATCCTAGAATCATAGCACTTACATTAACAAGTCGCGTCCCTTTCCTTTGGCGGTAAAGTCTAACCTTGAAGACGCTCCGTAAACTATACCACTTAGCATAACATTCTATTAATTTAAATAAACATCCCGGATGCCGAGAGCGAGCTAATGTCCAGACATTTTTGTCAATTGATAGTCAAGATTAGCATCAGAGGACGTTCGCTTATGTTCCGTAAACATCCACAACCGCGGGAGGTCCCAGATTCCTTTGTTAGCTGCATCTTGACATTGTATCCGATGCAGTATCATTATAATAACGTGTATCCGCGCCTTACAATAAGTCTCCTAAACCTGTTTCACGTGTACATAGGTGGTGTTTCGCCTTGGAGGTTGCCCAATCCGACCCTCGGCAACTACAGCCAGGTGTCATCCTTGGTTAGCGTTTGATAAATGGATCTTGAGTTGCCTAAGAGAAACATCTGCTACCTCCGTTTATCGTCTTCTTTGTCAATTTGCCACCATATGAATTGCACATTGTGTTTTATAGACTTTTTCATTTGGTGTGTCCTATCAATGATCGAAATAGAAAATAATTTTAGCTCAAAATCTATTTGTAATGTTTGCTTAAAAATCTTGAACAACAGTTTTATTACTTCTATATTAAAAAACATTATGAACCGTTTGTGTAGTGGTTTGAGTAAAAGTCTTTTTCTAGACAATTCGGCTTCAAATTTCAACTACCATCGATGCATTAACTGACACTGACAAGATCCTGTCATTTGGATCCCACCTTTTGCTGCAAACCCGTTTATTTACAAAAAATGTTTATCTGTTGAGAACGACTTGTCTCTGTATCGGAGAATTTGCTTCAACCAAAATCCATACGACTATTTAACAATTTTAACCTTTTCATGCCCTTTTGTGTAAGCGTTCTGGTATTCAATGGGTTTACAAACTAAGAGACTTTTACCAGGGGGTGAAACATTAATATTTAAAGATAAAACTAACTTACCAATAATGCAATATTTTGATGACTAAGAACAAGTCTGAATGATAAAAAATTGGCCAAACAGTACAAATAAATATTCTCACATTTCTATTATATTTGAATATAAACTATACATAATCACATGGATCTCCTAAAATAAAACTTTGTATCTCTCTGTCTGTCATAACCTTCAACAGTCATTTCGTCCATCTGGGGGCTCGAAGAGGAAACATTCGTAAAACATCCCCCGGACATCAATCAGTACCTCCTCACTATGATGTCATTTACGACTACAACCGTTATCCAACCGATGTAACTATTTAACACTATGGTACCTTACAATTCAAACTCCTACAAGCATTTCAATTGATCCAGTTGAACTCACACCGTTATCCAACCGTAACAATTATCAGTTCAAGCCTTTCCAAACGCTTTTCATCGCTAAGTGTCTGCAGACCATCAATAGCCGCTGAGGAGTGATTGTTGCTCTAATGACACATTGAGTAGTTTGAGCCGAGTCATCACCAGATCACTGTCTCATTGGGTGATTCGAACTGAGTTACACAAGAGATCGCAACCAGGAAATGTAGCATTTCGGGTGAACATTGTGCGATTGGGCGATTGATAAACTTCTATTGGCCAATCATGGACTTGATCATGTAACCATTTAGGTTTCTCCATTTAATTCTTATAGAAATCAAATTGAAAATAAATAATAGATTAAGCATGGCTTTCAGTGGCGAAATTCCTCCTTTGCCGAGGAAGAGAGAAGCTTGGAATATTTTGGTTCCTAAAGGCTGACCAATAACCCCGAACATAGGGCCCCCACTAAATTGACATATGTCAAGCCCCAAAAGAAACCTAATTCCTAAAAAAATATTCTAATAAAAATTAACCAATAAAGCTATTCCCAAACAAAACGAAATTATGATATACAGTTTTTGCAAATGTAAATTAAGGCCCCAAAAGTAGTTGAATTCATAACATTTTAATAGCACTTCACTGTCTTTTTTGCAAAGACATTCTCACTGAAACCACATCTGACATTTAAAATACGTAGCGTTTATCTAGATATTTTACTATCGAGGTCAAATGACGGACCATGGTCTTTCCTATTTCATTGACCTTCTAGCCCTGAACCTTGTTGAACTATGTTGAGGTTACTCAAAATGACCTTTCACATCGCAGTGTACCTTAAACTACCTTAGTGACCTTAAGACTTGTAACTCAGTGCTCGATCCTTACAAAAAAAAAACAAACAAAAAAATTGGTTATGGTTTCTCAATGGGTTATCAAATAAGTATTTTTTAATCAGAATATTTATACATCGTAAAGCGGTTTAGCATATTTATTTAGAAGGAACCTGTGAAAAGCGATGCAAAAATACACAAAGTCAATGTAAAATAACTCAAAGTAAAAAGACAATCCAATCTTGGTCGTTTAGGGATGACCACGACGTTGAAAAAACTGGCCGACATTTCAAGTGCTAGGCAATAAATGTCGCGGATTCTACTTCGTATAGACACGTTAGGCAGTATTTTCGTCAATCCTACGACACAACGAGGTCCTTAGACTAAGATTCTACTTTGATCATGAGCCTACCTTATAGTTCAGTGAACATAGTATTAAAAAGAGCTTCACATTTTCACTCAATCGTTCTTTTCACAGGTACGAGACAGGCAACGAGATCGTTGCCGAGGAGAAGGGGTACGTTAAGAACGCAGGCAACCCAGAACAAGAGACCCAAGTGGCCGAGGGATCCTACAGCTACACAGCTCCCGATGGAACAAGGATCTCCGTCACCTACGTCGCTGACGAGAACGGATTCGTTCCTGTGGGAGACCATCTCCCGACTCCTCCTCCAATCCCAGAGGCCATCCTCAAGGCTCTGGCCTACATCGAGGCTCATCCCGAGGAGAACGAGCTGGGAGCCGGCTCAGCGCCTCAACCCGCAGTAGCGAGACCTACCTACTGAAGAACTGATCAGTGAACGACTCTCCAGAGAGAATCGCTCATTAGTGAACGAGTTCAAACGGACCAAAGTGAAGTGATCCTGTGTCCTAACGATTTACTCATTGAGTTACGGCTTTGGAATTGTGATTTTGATTTCATAGCTGTAACTTGAAAATCAAAATATTTAAATCACGATTTCATCGATTCCATTGTATTATATCTGTCCCCCTTTTGTATCTTGACACGTCTAGTGTTGCGTGGTTTTTTATAAATAAATGTTTAAAAACACTATACAATTGTTTAATATTATCCTACAAGTTCGAGAGTACTTATTTGTGTCATATATTGTGTTGTGTACCTATGTTTTGGATATGCTGTAGGGATATTTGGTTACGAGCAAATATGGCTATAATAAATTAAAATCAAGCTTTAGAGATCATGTAATTAAGGAAATTAATTGTGTAAAGAGACCTTAAAATTTATATTAAAAATCTCTGATTTACAAACAGAATGTTTCAGAAAACTTACTTTTCACAATATTAATGTTATTTAATTATGACGTTTGCGTTCTGAAACACCAACGACAACATATAATATTAGAACACAACAAAGAATGTAACCAAATGTATTGAAAAGTGTTATTCGTACCTATCCTACTACTTTTAGTCACACCATTCATATTGTATTTATTTATTTTGTGGCCAACCCATGATTATAATGTTTTATTATATCATGTTATAGTGTTTTATTTTAAAATTATAAATGAAACGTTTCCAAAGGTAAAATTATGAAGACCATGTGATTTACTGGTTTTAGATATTTGTATATATTTGTATATTTGTATATATTTGTGGTTTACTACCTAAAATAAGATTCATTGCCAATCTCGACCAAACAACGAATCAAAATTATTGTTTGGCACACTACACAGTTAATTCGTCTTTTTATGTCCCTACTTCACATCATAGGACGCTATTTCCAGCCCGGAACTGTTTAACACTTTAATTTAGGCTAGTAGGTGGGTTGCGGTATTTATCACATGGATAAAATCCATTGGGGATTGGCAGAATTTGAACTAGGTACCTCGAGATCCTAGACCAGTTGGCTCCCCCAAGAGTGCAGGCATTAGGCATTTAACCAACATTGTCTAAAATCACTCTCGTTCGCCTGAAGAGTAAAAGCGAATTTACAACTGGTTTCATAGATTTAGCAAAGCTTAAGGAATTTGATGACATTGCTGTTTTAGTAAGTTTTGGTTATTGATTCCCTAGCATTTCATTAGCATCCATTATCGATGAAGATGGTCCATTCCAATCAGACATCCAATCCCTTGAGACAGCAGCACACAATAATTGGCCTGCGTATTTCAGCAGCAATGTAAGTGTACGAGTAAAATATAGTGATATGACCCATGCAGACGATGAAAGGAATATAAATAAACTATGATGGAGAATATAACTAAGACAGTTTGGTGTGGTTTGGTCTGGCTTTAAAAAAACTTATCCAGTTTATTTGTTACTAGTTTAGCAGAACTGTTACCAGTTTATTGGTATCTCTGAATATGCTGTTTGGACACCACAGACGTGGTATGTCCTCTAACTCGAGAAAGGACTTGGGAAAATTAATTGTCTTTGGGTAGTTGTTTGTATATAGTTGGAACAGAACCAAACAAACACATAACTAAGGAGAACCTTACACTTATTAGTAGCTTTGAAAATACCAACTTTTAAGATTTGATATAATAATTATAAATAGGTCAGATCTTAAAAGATGGTATTTTAAGATTGTATTGCAAAATACTTAAGTCCATACAAACAGTTTTAACCATGATAAAACTACTACTAAAAGAGTTAACTACAGGAAAGATGTATAGTTACGTCTTCAAAATCATAAGTCGCTTCGTATTCAATTCCACTCTGCAGCCGTTAATTCAAGAGTTGCTTTGCAAGTAATCCTTTCTGCTTCTATTTATACGAGATCGATTTGGATTCTATTTATCCTTTGGGAATCCAATTAATAAACGAGGTAGCACATTGATCCGTATAATAAATTGAAGAAAAAATGCTTTATGTTATTTGGATTTTTGTAAAAAAAGTCTATATTACGTAGTATAATATCCTGAATAAACAAGCAAATAGCTTAAAGACTCAACTATCAAAAATAGTATAGCCCATTGAATTCTGTAATTAGTACAAGTTTTACTAAGGATGATTACTCGTTCTACATTTTAGTAGGTCATTTAATTGTGAATAAGACTCACTTCTGCAAATCCTTGAAAATACACCAGGGGAAAACCAAATAAATATTCGAAAACCTGTTTACTATGATTAGAAGGATTCAAGAACGTTTTATAACTACCTCAAATATTTTTTTAAATGGTTATATTCGTAAATAATTTTTTCCAATCTTAAAATGCGTTTAACAGTAAATGTTTTATTTTATAAAGATGAGATAGGTTCATTACGCATTTTAATTGGTTTAGAAAATAAGAGAATATTTTTAAACTTACGTTGAGATACTGTATCCAGAGTTTAAATCAATGTGAACTTACAAGTTATTATGCACGAAAATTATTGAACTAGAAGATACTAGAATAACAATGTATTACAATTACTGGCTTTCCAAAAGACTTAACGCAAGACCTCGTGTAGCAGAATTTGTGACTAAACTAAAACTCTAAAGAGATGTGTATCAAAAACAATCCAACCATAAGGGATTTGCCCCATCGGATTTCAAATGAGTGGAATATAATTTGAGTAGGCCAACCATCGAGAAATATTTTACAACTATTTAGGCCTTACAATTTTCTAATTAACTAAACAATAATAGGAAAATGTTTTATTGTACCTAAATTGAATATAGCCAATATTAAAATGTTACATCGCTGGGGAAATTCATTATTCTAAATGAAATGAACTGCGTATAAACTGCGTTAAATACATTCATTTAAAAAGTGCCAAACAAACTGGTTAATTTATTTCAAAAGGGACTAAAAAACGTGTATAGGCCTATCACTTAAAATATTTAAATAACTCGTAACACACACTAGGTTTTACAGATTTCAGTATGCGCCCTTTCTCATAAAATACCTCACGCGTTGTACTATTGCCTTGCAGATAGTAGGATGACAAAATAAGGATAAGGAATGCACGAAATAAATACTCTGCTACTCTATAAGTTTACAGTTTGCATGAAATGATGAAATCGCAACGCTTAGGAATTACTTTACTCATAATCCTACATTTAATTAAAAATGCAGCTTAATAGTAAATTCCGAACTTTATCTGATTTAAATTAATTTGCTGTCAATCGTTTTACAGCTTAACCCTTTCCACTCGGATTAGTTGACCCCTTGTTGTCCCATACGCTTGCATTTATTGTCATGCAAAAAAACATGTTTAAGTTTTGTGTACATATACTGACTAAAATAAATTATTTGTTGTACTTGAGGACTTGATTCTTATTCAGCATAAAATTGTACACAAGTAAAACAAAATATCAAAATAAATATACCCATAAAATATTTTTTGTGTGGTCATAATATAAAAAAAGCAACATAAAATGTACAAAATATTTTTTGGGAGGCTTTTTAAAAACGTTAACACATTTTCAGGATTTGTAAAACACTTTATCAACATTAGTTATCTAGTTGCCAATTCAAATCAGCCATTACAAGAAGGATTAGGTGTATTTTTAATGAAAAAATGCATTTTCAAACTTAGATTTTTGGTGATTTTGGTCGTCATGGTTACTATTTACACTTCTCTATTCTTTAATCCACAGCTGACTAAATAAACTTACAATTATTTTTCAAGCTACCAAAGACATGTAAAATGAATAAGGAAATCATTAAGTATGTAT